TTTTGCAAACTATTCTTTGCTTTTGTTTTCAAATTCAGTTTCGTTTTGGACGGAGATTCTGCTACTGCTTACTTTGATGGTGTTTTTGTCCTCCTCCTATTGGAGGTTCGAGACCTGGCTTTGCTTTGAAATTAGGGTTAGAGATTATTTTTATATCTTCTAGATTTATCGAGCATGTCTCCTGCTAGGACGCCCGAGGGCGATGATGGAGTCCCATATTCATTCGCTGTTGAGTATAACGGACCGCCGGTTGCCTTCGATCTTCCCAAGGCTGTGCCCATAAGCGTTGAGAAAATCCCGGTGGCTGCAGTGGTTTCTCAGGTTCCCTTATCAGATAAACGATCCTTGCCGGTTGTCCACCGCTCTTGGCGCCGGAACCTCCGAGGGGGAGATTCTCCAAGGAGCTCAACCCACTTGGCTCTGAACCCTCGGTTTCCCCGACTTCGGTCATTGCCTTTGATCCGAGTAGGGAGGATGGTGGCGGTAGCTCGTCGAAAGAACTAGAGTTAGGTTCCGAAAGAACAGTGTCCCCAACTTCCGTGATTGCCTTTGAAGATAGTGTTACGCAGGGTAATGTGTGTGAGTTATCGGGTGAATTGAGTAGCTCGGGAGCATTTGAGTTCTCGAATGGGAATTACGTCTCTGGTGAATTGTCGGACGTGGCGGTCAGCTCCAGGGTGCTAGACTCCAACTCTATTAGTCACGAACACTCGCACGAGTTACTGAGGGATGCTGGAAGCCTGAGCACTGGGGAATTTTCCGACAGTTTTGACAAGTCAGGAAGAAGCTCGAGTGTTTTGAGGACTTCGAATTGTGAAAAGAGAGTTTGATTGTAATGATTCAAATCAACAAGATTGGGGTTCCACTGAGTCTGTGTTGAGTTTAGATTATCCGTCCTCCAGGGTTTATTCCTTAAAGACTGCGGATTGTGACAATGAGCCAGATTGTGATTCTATACGCCCTCATATTGTTACATTCAACGTCGACTCGGATGACGCTTTAAATGAGGAATGCGAAGAAGAGAGTGAAACAAGACCAGTGAAAAGAGAACCTCTAACAAAGGGAAAGAAAGGGTCATGCTATCGATGCTTGAAAGGAAATAGATTCACTGAAAAAGAAGTTTGCCTTGTTTGCGATGCAAAGTATTGTAGCAATTGTGTGTTAAGAGCTATGGGGTCAATGCCTGAAGGACGTAAATGTGTCACTTGCATAGGATTCCCAATTGACGAGTCAAAACGAGGGAATTTGGGAAAATGTTCTCGGATACTCAAACGACTGCTTAATGACTTGGAGGTTCGACAGATAATGAAGGCGGAGAGGTCTTGTGAAGTAAATCAGTTGCCAGCTGAATACATTTGTGTGAATGGAAATTCTCTTTCTCCTGAGGAACTGGTTACTCTGCTGAACTGCCCAAATCCTCCGAAGAAGCTTAAGCCAGGAAATTATTGGTATGATAAAGTATCTGGTCTGTGGGGGAAGGTATTGTTTTTTCTTAATTTGCTTTCTGCTTCACTCTTTGGTTTACTGCGGACACTGACTTCTTTGTGTTTTTGGTGAAATGCGCAGGAAGGACAGAAGCCTTCCAGAATTATTAGTCCCCATCTAAATGTTGGGGGTCTCATCAAACCGGATGCCAGCAATGGAAACACTCAGGTTTTCATCAATGGTCGAGAAATAACAAAGGCTGAGCTTCGAATGTTGCAGGTTGAATTTTCTGTGCATGAAGCTATATTTTTGAAGGGCTTTCTCTAGTTCAATCCTAGTTCTAATCAAGGAATCTCGCACTCTTTTCCTTTACTTTATTTTGGGGCCCAGAGAAAGGGATCTTGTGCTGGCAATACTTACTTTTCATTTTTATTGTTTCTGTTTTGCAGTTGGCAGGGGTTCAATGTGCTGGCAACCCACATTTTTGGGTCAATGAAGATGGTTCATACCAAGAAGAGGGACAGAAGAATACAAGAGGATATATATGGGGAAAGGTGGTCTATTTGCCTGTGTTTCTGATATATGAATTTACGGTGATAGAATTTTTAATAGTTCTATTTTACTCACTAGGCTGGAACGAAGCTTGTATGTGCACTGCTGTCTCTCCCTGTTCCTTCAAAATCGTCAAATTCTTTCGGAGAACAAATCACCAATCCGGTTAGCAGAACAGTTCCCGATTACCTTGAGCATGGAATAGTTCAGAAGCTCCTGTTAGTTGGTTACAGCGGTTCTGGAACGAGCACTATTTTTAAGCAGGTGAGAATATTATTTCATAGTTGAGTCCGTTAATCAGGTCATGCTTGTTTGTTTGAGCTAGGATCAGTAAATGTGATTCGTAAGCATGTACTGATGAAAATTGTCATTTCTTTAAGTGACTGGAGAATGATATAAGAAAGGCTTCTTTGGACTTGTCTAAACATGACAATAAAGTATCTAGCCATTTCAAAACCTACTGTGATTGCTAGGAAAAAATTATTTCTATAAACTTTTGAGATTTGGGAAAAGTTCCTTCATGAGGTCATTCTATGGGTGCTGATTTTTGTCTTCTTCCTTCCCCTTCTCTATTATAAATGGCCAAATTCTGGCATTAGTTGGGAAACTATTGTTGCGGACATTGACATAGATAATATGGTAAATTAGTAATTGAGGCATTGTTGACTCCAGACTTTTGTTTGTGAACAAAATGAGGGGAGGAATGATTTGATATCTGTTTTTATTCTTCACATCCTCCCCCTTTTCTATTTGATTCCTGAAAGAAAGATATCAGGTGTTTTCGTGCTATTTATTGCTCTTTATTTGCGGCCACATGTGATGGTGGCCTGAAAGATGGTTGGCTGGTTGTTGAATCTTGTTGAAAGCTGAAATACTATTTTTACTATTCGGCTTCTTTCGATAGTGTTGCTGGATGAGATTATATATATCATATACGATATGTGTCACGTCAACTTAAGAAATCAGTGTATTGATAGAACTGTAAAATGCTTGTCAGGCCAAGATTCTGTACAAAAGTACCCCTTTCTCTGAAGATGAACGTGAAAATATTAAACTTACCATTCAGAGCAATGTCTATGCCTATCTAGGCATACTTCTAGAGGGTCGTGAACGTTTTGAAGATGAATGCCTTGCAGCTTTAAAGAACAGGCAATCTTCTGCAGGAAACACCGCAGGTATGAAGGCCACTTTTACTCATTCCCACTGTTGATTTTAATGACAACACATCGAGTAGATTTTATCTTCTTGTCCATTTGCAATGAAAAATTTACCGGTGCACATTTTTGGATTTCAGCAGGAAACTGTTCAGATTTTGACGACAAAACAATTTATTCAATTGGCACAAGGTTGAAAGCATTCTCTGACTGGCTGCTCAGAACTATGGTATCAGGCAAACTTGATGCTATCTTTCCAGCTGCTACTCGTGAATATGCACCATTAATTGAGGAGTTGTGGAATGACTCTGCTGTCAAGGCTACGTATGAAAGAAGAAGGGAATTAGAAATGCTACCCAATGTGGCCAGTTATTTCATAGAGCGGGTAAGACCATTGCCTTGTTTATTGAATTGATTTTATCAATAATTTTAATTTTTTTTTATGTGATCTTGTCAATGAGATGATGACTAACTCGGTTTTAACCATTGAATTTGAACTGAACCCTACGTATTTGTTTTCATCAGTGGTAATAAGCAGAGGTGGTGGTACATTATTTGTTTTTGCTCACACAAATTAACCACTGCTATCTGTGAAGAAGTTTTAATTGCTTCAGGTTTGAAGTTTGAACTCAGGATCTTCTACAGATCGGTTGTGATTTCCCAGTGTCAATTTTTATTTTCAAAAAAAGAAAGTTCATTGAAGTGCCATAATGTAGACGTCTTCGCAAAATTTAGCTAAATTTCTTATGGAAAGAAATTTAATTGTGTTCAAGGAATTTATCTTCAACCAGTCAGCTCTGAAAAATGCACAAACCTGTGGAGTGATAAACTCAATAGCTACATGAGGTGTTTTTCAATGGTGGTAGACTGTTAGTTCATATTTGTTTTTTCACCCTTTAAAAAGGTTCCTTGGGCAGAGAGATTGAGAGAGTTGACAATTGCGTGCTGGAAATTTGGCTGATGCATTTCATTCTAAGAGTTACAAGTTTGATTTGTTGTCCCTGAAAAATGAGCAAACCTGTGGAGTGATAAACTCAATAGCTACATGAGGTGTTTTTCAATGGTGGTAGACTGTTAGTTCATATTTGTTTTTTCACCCTCTAAAAAGGTTCCTTGGGCAGAGAGATTGAGAGAGTTGACAATTGCGTGCTGGAAATTTGGCTGATGCATTTCATTCTAAGAGTTACAAGTTTGATTTGTTGTCCCTGAAAAATGAGCAAACCTGTGGAGTGATAAACTCAATAGCTACATGAGGTGTTTTTCAATGGTGGTAGACTGTTAGTTCATATTTGTTTTTTCACCCTCTAAAAAGGTTCCTTGGGCAGAGAGATTGAGAGAGTTGACAATTGCGTGCTGGAAATTTGGCTGATGCATTTCATTCTAAGAGTTACAAGTTTGATTTGTTGTCCCTGAAAAATGAGCAAACCTGTGGAGTGATAAACTCAATAGCTACATGAGGTGTTTTTCAATGGTGGTAGACTGTTAGTTAATGTTGTTTTTTACCCTCTAAAAAGGTTCCTTGGGCAGAGAGATTGAGAGAGTTGACAATTGCGTGCTGGAAATTTGGCTGATGCATTTCATTCTAAGAGTTACAAGTTTGATTTGTTGTCCCTGAAAAATGAGCAAACCTGTGGAGTGATAAACTCAATAGCTACATGAGGTGTTTTTCAATGGTGGTAGACTGTTAGTTAATGTTGTTTTTTACCCTCTAAAAAGGTTCCTTGGGCAGAGAGATTGAGAGAATTGACAATTGCGTGCTGGAAATTGGGCTGATGCATTTCATTGTAAGAGTTACAAGTTTGATTTATTGTCCCTGAACAATCCTCGTAGACACATTTTAATCTTGGATAACTTGTTAGGCCAGACTTCAGTTTAGGGGCTTAAAGTTACTGTTAATACTGCTCTTAATGAACAAACCCAGAAACTGCTTTGTTCAGTCCTTTAAGAATTAGAATGTTGAAACCTTCTTAATGCTTCCATTCCTATTTACTCTTTATAGAAAAATATTGTTGAATTAGTGACCTTGGAACTTGTGCTTTTCATCCACAATCTTTCTAACGGTAACTCTCTGTTTAGGCCGTTGAGATATTGAGGCCTGATTATGAACCCTCAGATTTGGATATTCTATACGCTGAGGGAGTTACTTCATCCAATGGGCTTGCTTGTGTTGAGTTCTCATTTCCCCAGTCTGCTCCTGATGAAACTGTTGATACTGCTGACTTGCATGATTCTCTGACAAGGTGGGTGAACTTTGTGTATTTCTTTTGTTATATGTGAGAAATGTGCTGAGACAAAGCCCACCCTGTTTTCATTATTGAAATATTGTGTTTGACAGATTGAGACTTATAAGTTGACCTCTGTTCCTTGTAACTCTTGTTGGAAAGATGCATTCAACTACATACATTTTTTGCTAAAGCCTTGTCTAGACTAATGACGGAAAACTTTTGCGATGATGCTGACTTTTCATAAATGTAATTGTGTCTAATAAATTTCGTGGAAAGCGAGGAATTTGTCCCACTGCCATGAAGTGGTTTTAACCTTTACCGTATTTTATTGGTTCTTTTTGGTTGGTTCGCAGGTATCAACTAATAAGAGTACAAGCAAAAGGATTAGGGGAAAATTGCAAGTGGCTTGAGATGTTTGAAGATGTGGGAATGGTCCTTTTCTGTGTTGCCTTGAATGACTATGATCAGTATTCCCTTGATGGAAATGGTTGTCTCTGTAACAAGATGATACTGAGCAGGAAGTTTTTTGAAACCATCGTCACCCATCCGACCTTTGATCAGATGGACTTCCTACTGATATTAAACAAATATGATCAATTTGAGGAGAAAATAGAACAAGTTTCATTGACCCAGTGCGACTGGTTCTCTGATTTTCATCCGCTTATTAGCCGACATCGCTCGAGCAGCAACAGCAACAGTATCAACAGTAGCCCTTCCCTTGGTCAGCTGGCTTCCCATTACATAGCAGTCAAGTTCAAGAGGCTTTATTCATCGCTTACTGGGCGGAAGTTGTATGTATCCCTAGTGAAGGGTTTGGAGCCTGATAGTGTTGACGTAGCACTCAAATATGCTAAAGAGATTTTAAAGTGGAATGAAGAGAGACCAAACTTCAGCGTCAGTGAGTACTCGATGTATAGCACTGAGGCGAGTTCATTCTCTCCCTGATTGCTAATTGAGACGGGAATTCTAAGTCACATTTGACTTGTTTAATGCCCTTTTGTACATACATATATTTCTAACGAAGAGTAACAGGGAAGCGCATTCCTTCCGCACACTGGTGTTGAAAGATGCGCTAGGCGCCTGTAGGTTTCCCGCGGTTCAGCCATGTCCTCAAGCCCCGAGGTTGAGGTTGGGGTGTAATGTTGATTTTTTTTTTTTTTTTTTAACATGGTAAAGTAATATATTGAGGTTTGTATTTGTATATTTGATTGATAGGCAGGCTCCTCTCATTTACAAATTTGAATACCAAATCGACTTTCGTCCATTAATAGATGAGGTAGAGTCGTAGACAATTCGTGTTCAGTATTTTGATTGAAATATTAATGCATGAGCTCCCTGGGGAACATTTCCTTTTGAGGCGTCTGTGGACTTGGTTATGGTAAAATACAAATGCGAATTGTGGAAAGGAATTGTTGCGAAACTGTGCCCCTTTTTCCCAATAAAAAGAAATACTTCTACAGTCGAGCGTGACATACTATGATGTCAGAGTGCTTTTCTTTTCTTTTTTATCCTTTTCCGCCAAAGGCATCAAAGAGTACGTATGAATATTATTATTTGTTTTTAATTTATTTCCCGCGAAGTACTTGTTTTTAATTTGTGAGCAAATTAATTTGTGGGTTTTCATAATATTACCTATAGTTTTATCTAATTTTTAACCAGGTTCTTATATTTTTATCTGATTAAAAATAAGAGGAAATTATGAGAACTTAAGATAAAAAGCTATAAAATTTTTATTAAAATTAAGTGAAATTAAAAAGATATGATAAAAATCATAGAAAACTGATTAAAAGTGAGGACCTGAGGTTTCTTAAGAATTGTTAGTATCTTTCAGTCTAATGAAAATAAGCAAAATTCTTAGTACCAAAAAAAAAAATTGTAAATATTTTTTTTTTTTGGTGAAAGGTATGGGGCTCAAAGGCCTAATATTATTGCATCATCACTGAACGTGGGATAGCAACTCCCACCCAGTCAGCATATAACAGTCTTCCTACAACCTGGGGAGGGCTTTCAAAAATCATCTCCTCCATATCTATCTCAAAACTGTAATTTGCAAGGCAATCCACAACAGTATTGCCTTCCCTATAAACATGTTGTATCCTAGCATTCACAAATATATCTAGCTCAGCCTTTACATTTTTCAATACAATCAAAATCATCAACTATACTAGTCAGAATATTAACAGCAGCTAGGGAGTTGCATTCCACAATCAGGTGCTTGATCCCAGCCATGTGCGCCATCTGCAAACCAGAGATCACGGCCTAGATTTCATCTTTTATAGCCGAGCAAGATCCCAATTTTCTTGAGAATCCCCTTATCCATTTCCCATTGCACCCCCTTAACAGTCCACCACATCTAGCCCAATATATTCCCACCCCTGGATGCCCTATCCGTATTTAATTTTACCCAACCAGTCTCCGGAACTTCCCATCAAATAAGCCTCTCATACCTCTTGCCAACAAGCCCATCATTGGTGCCCACAGAATTTCTAATTTCAACTACATATCTTCTAACAATGGCACTTCTGTCGTCTGGCATTACAAAACCATTCACAAATAAACTTTTATTCCTCCAATTCCATAATAACTAGCAAGTAATTCCAAATCCAGCAACTTTCCTCTCATCTTTATTGCTCAAACACCATCTAAACCATTCTTTGTCATTCATCAGGTAAAAATTTGAGTTGTAATCACTCTCCCCCAACTGTCCCCATAGCTCTTTAGCACAAACACAATCTCACAGAACATGCATGGTAGTCTCGGGTTCCACATTACATTTGTAACACAAGGCATTGCCTCCCATTAGCCTACTTCTCCTTTCTGCAGTGAGCAAGCGATTGTGACTAGCCATCCAAAGGAACACTTGAATTCTTCTAGGCCCCTTTCAATGCCAAATCTTCCTCCACAACACATCCACCTCACCCTCCTCTTTTTTCAATAATTTGTACATATCAGCCACACAATACTTATTTTGTAGAGCTGACCCCCATCTAACTTCATCTTCCCCATATTCAGCATCAGGAGGCGGTACAGCACGTATAAGGTTCTTCCCTTTTTCAGAAACACACATATCCAGTTTTGCATAGTCCCATTGTCCATTATTATCCACCATATCCTTAACTTTATAATCCAGATTTACATCAGCAACTTGGATTGTACATTCATCTTCCAACTTAACTCCTTTATCCACCCAATAGTCCCTCCAAAACCTAACTTTCTCACCATTTCCCACTTCCCAGCTCACATACTGAGTTACTTGAGGCCATAAACGAGCCACATTTTTCCATATCTCTGAATCTGTATTTTTGACAGTACATTCCTCAATTTGATTCATACGTCTACTATATTTCCTTGTTAGAACCATAGAACACAAGCTCCTCTGCTTTGCAATTAAATTCCATCCCACTCTGCCCAATAAAGCATCATTCATTACACCCTAATCTTTCAAGCCATACCCCCCTTTCTCCTTTCTTGTACACAACAAATCCCAACCAATAGCATGAATTTTTCTCCTTTCCTCATCACTATTCCAAATAAAATCTCACTGTAATTTTTCCAAGTGCTTCTTTACACCTATAGGTATAAAAGAGTGCTGCATTTGAAAATTTGTCAATTGATTTGTCACAGATTGCACAAGAGTAAGCCTTCCGGCCAATGACAGATTTTGTTTTTTCTACCCACTCAACTTATTCTGCATTTTATCAATTAAAAATTGAAACTTCTCCTTATTACTCCTCCCCTTGGTAATATAGGCTCCCAAATACCTCCCTAAATCCTCCATTTTCTTGAAGCCTGTCAAGTCACAAATTTCGTTCTGTATTTTTCTATCAGTATTCTTGGAAAAGAAAACACTGGTTTTGTTTATGTTGATCTTTTGGCCAGATACATGGCCAAACTTCTTTAGAATCTCAACAATATTTATAGCCTGATCTAAATTCGCTTCACAGAACAATAAAACATCATCAGCAAACAACAAATGTGAGACAGCAGTGCCCCTTCTTCTCATTCTTATTGGATTCCACCTCTTCAAATTAACACTATCAACAATCAAGTGTATTAACTTCTCCATTCCTAGAACAAACAAGTATGGTGACAAGGGGTCACCTTGTCTCAAACCCCTTGAAGGTATAAGAACCTCTCTTTTCACACCATTCCACATAAGGGCCAAAGTAGGAGTGCTAATACACATTTTTATGACTTTTATAACATGTTCATCCAATCCAATTTCATTCAATACTTTTTCAACAAAACACCAAGACATTCTGTCATAAGCCTTTTCAAGGTCTATTTTTAAAAAATTGTAAATATTAAATATATGCATCTGAATGCTCTCTCTCTCTCTTCTTTTTTTCCCAAATAAAACGGGATGAAGCTAGTTTTTTTTTGGACTGAAGCATGAAGCTGATTGAATGTACGGTGACGACTGACGACTCAATGCTCGAATGGGAGTTTAATTTAAAATCTTAAAAAAAAGGTTTAAAATTTAAATCGTCAAATTGTACGCGAGAGCTCCTGCCCCCGCGCGTTAATAAATGGCAAGCTCTCAATTTTCCGCTGTTCGGCTGCATTTATGACCCCTCCCGTACGCATCAGCTAAAATTAGAAACAAGCGTGAGGGCGTCACCATCAAATTCTGAAAACGCTTATGCAAAAGGAGAATGCTGCTCCGTGCATCCAATCTTTTGAAGTCAGAGGAGCTGATCTCCTACCATAATCAGATAGTGGATTTGAAGCCGCTGGCCGTAGCCCTTGCCATTCCTGAAAAGCTGATGGCTGTGGCAGAAAAGAGCAAACCCGTTTCTTTATCGCCTGTGAAACAGAGCAATCTGCATTTGCCAACCACAACTGCTGTGTGCGTAAGTTGAACAGATCCAATATTGCCCTTCGACCCGAGGCATACGAGTTGATCATACGCCAATCTTCGTTGCTTCATTAATAAACCTCAGCGCTTATATTTGCAAAGTCAGAGGTTACGGTAAGAAAGGCATAAAATATGTACATCTCTATGCTACTCCCTCCCACCCCTTTTTAAAATTATCTTCGGTTGCAGCCTTTTCTTTGTAACATGAATTTTCTGCAACAAAGTGGTAATCGATTCTGGCATACTCTTTCAGCTGATGTGCTTATGTGTCGCTTAGTTATGAATTACTTGGTCTTAGTGAGATATACTAGGCTAAATCTATGTGCCTTTTTTCAAGAGTGCCTCCATCCTGATCGGAGTCTATCTCTGTTTTTTTCTGACCTCTTGGGTGGGCTCGTGAGGTGCTAGGGTGTGCAAGTTTAATCACTGCGATTGTTGTTTGGTGATATGCCGGTGAATTCGCTGAGGAGTCGAAAGCTTTTGGAGCATCAGATCCGGGTGCAAGTGAAACGGCTTCGAGAAAGAAGAGGAAAGGAGCTTCATCGATTTGTACATGGATCCAAATGATTTGTGGGGATATGAGGTGGAAGCGACTGGAAACTTTGTGGGTTGGCATTAGAGGTGAGTTCAATGCTGTTTTAGACCGATCACAATGTGGTGCCCAGTGAAGGGAATCTTTTTCTAGAATGCAACTCATTGCTGTTGAGTTGATAGGTTGAGGCCTTCTTATACTTGAACTCAAGGTATCGTTTTTGAATTTTCCCCTCCTAGTGGTCGTAACTTGGACCTGGATCTGTTATTATTGTCTGGAATTAGATCCCTCCTCTTAATGGTGTTGAGTTGATAGGTTGAGGCCTTCTTATACTTGAACTCAAGGTATTCGTTTTTGAATTTCCCCCTCCTAGTGGACGTAACTTAGACCTTGATCTGTTATTGTTGTCTGGAATTAGATCCCCCTCTTCTTAATGGTGCCCTCGGTGAGTCCAAAACAGATTGGAATGACTTGTTCTATGCTATTGCATGGTTGATAATTCTCTCATGCAGGCTAATGTTTTTGGAAAGATCTCTCAGTTTATTAGTGTAAATTAGATAATGCTGCATGGGTAGAGGCCGTTGCTAATGCTGCTTTTTTTGCTAGTAACACTGCTTTGGATGTTCACTATTGGGAAGGGGATTATAATGCTCAGTATTCATCTAATGCTATGATATGTCTTAACTTTCTTGACCTCCAGCATGCTAATGTTTGGAATGGCTTGGCTGACCCTGTGAGACAAATTGGGTTAAGCATTAAGGATGACTTGCAATGGGTTCCACCGGGATGTTTTTGGCTTAGAATTGTTCTTAAAAGATGCCTGGGTTATATTGCCAAAGACCAATATTTTTGAAATGCCGGAACTGCTTTAGTTTGTCATCTTTTGAGAATAAAAAACACGGGATAGAAATCAGTGGAAATCAGAGGACTACAGATTTGGAGGCTTTGAGTTTCTTATTTTTCTATTTCACTTGATCCAGCTTCTTTGATGAACTATTGCTGGGTGGCCTGCCTTGTCCACTTAGCTATCATTGGAATAGATAATGTGTTGTTAAAAGAGATTGTGCCCGTGCCTTCCTTGGTCAGGTTTTCAAACGCCTAATTACTCTTGTTTTCTTTTATATGCTTCTAGTTTTTGGATCTGTGTTTTTGCCGTTTTCTTCTTCTGTCATGTTTTGGTTTGTCTTGATCTTGAGCTGTTTGTCCGAAGACAATGTGCGTATTCACTGCTAGTTTTCCGCGTTGACCAAATATATATATGTATGTATGTATGCATTAGATAGGTAGGTAGGTAGGTAGATAGATGCAAGCATGCATGTCCTCACATTTTCTCCCTCTTCCTTCAAGTTTAGAAATGGGGCAAACTGGAGAAAGATGCAGAGCGTTGGAAAGACATATATATTGGACGGAATTCGCTCCCAATAGACACCAATTTTTCAAGCTAATGATGGGCGATTTCAGAAACCAGCTGGTGAGTGAAACAGCTTAAAATACTAGTCATGTAGACGTTTTTCTTTTCGATTTCAACTGAATATCTCTTCAAGGTTTCAGAAGCTACAGGTATTGATGGATTCTCAACTTTTTTACAGCGAATTCCAAGAAAGTTTGTGAGTCATTTTAAGGAGGAACTACGGAGTGCTGCAAGACTTATAGGGCCGAGTAGAAATGTGTGGATTGTGAAAATTGCAAGAACTGATGATGATATTGTTTTTCAGATTGGTTGGGAAAAATTCGTGCAGGACCACAGTTTGGCAGAAAGAGATTTTCTTGTCTTCCACTACATTGGATACTCCTCTTTCAATGTCTCCATTTTTGATGAAACAGGATGTGAAAGAGAAGGTGCTTTTTTCGTCAATAAACACATTTCGTGCACTAGAAATGAATGCTTTCTTCAAAATGACGAGGAGAAAATTCTGCAAATTACTGATGTGGAAGAAACGGAGGGAAAGGTAAAGAAAGATAAACTAAAAGGTAGAGATGGTGCGATCGGAGAGGTGCGAGAAAGAAACCTGAAAAGCAAAACTTCGGTGCTCGTTGGAACCAGCTTTGAGGCCAGCAATTCAAACATAGAAACTTTTGGTGATAGGAAAGAAGACCTCTGGCCGAAAAGAAAAAAGTAACAGCTCAGAAAACCCGATTTATTATTGACTTGACCTCTTCAGGAAAGGAGTTAAAAATCAGTCCACCATGAACTCAAGCAAGTTAAATGAATGTCGTGGTTTTTGGGGGGCTTATATCTGGCAGACTGGCACCCCGTGCTGTCTACAAGAGACACGTTCATTCTAATTTTTTTGTTGAGGTGACTTCCATGAACTTGATCATTACCTTCATGGGATCTGCGTTTACTGATGTTGTAGCAGAATCTATAATATTATTAATGGTTCTGATCGGCGGACTTGCTTTGTTCCACTCCCTTAAATGTGAGTATAAGCCTAACACCGTTGAACTCCAGGTCTCTTTTTAAGCTAATACAAGATTAATTGTAGTAACTTCCATGAGATTCAAGACTAAAAAGCCACCAATGACCTCAATCATCAAGGACACAGAATAAAGAGAAAACTCAGAAAAGAGAGGAAGATTAGACTATAGCCTTCGGTATAGTTGCTTCTCCATATGAATTTGAATGCCAAATTTACAGGACCCAGTTGGACGACAAAACCACACTACGAGAAAAGCAGCCTGCCTTTTAGTACCAGACCTGCGTCTTCTGCTTCCTTTTTCCCCTTCCTTTCTCGTTTGTTTTTCCCCCTTCAAACAAAAGTCTTTTAGTTGATTGAATCTTGTAAAAGGACATACTTTGTTTTTTAATTACACCACTAATTGGGCAGCTAAAATTTGGGAAATTTTAAGGTGGTAGAAGTTATCAACTCAGCTTTAATATTTTTGATATTATTTTTCAATTTCTATCTATAGTTATATACATTTTTGCTGCTAATCAGTCTGAGCTCAAATGACATCATCTCACCCCTCTTAATGAAGAGGTTGAGAGTGTAAAAAAATATATACACATCTTTCCTAACAATTTATATTCATATGAAATTCAATTATTATAAAGTATTATATTATAAAACTTATTTTCTTTTAGTAATTTACATATTTAAAAATCTTTAACATTTTTTATTTTGCTACAATTATTTTTTAGTAAATAATATTTAAATATAAATATGCCCAAACCCGTTCTGGTTCATACGACGAGGGTCGTAAAAAGCGAAAATAAACAACAGTCGAGGCTTGAACCTAAAACCTTCCCCTGTTCCTGAAACACCGAGCAAGACCCCCAACTATGCGCCTGTTATTCCGGTTCGGCAGCGTTAGTAGGCAGAGCCGCCGTGGCAATTGCCACCTTCGCCACTATAAGGCTCCTAAGCCAGCGGCTCCACCGACGCCTCCAAAGCCTCCAAAGAAGCCTCAGAAATTTGAGTTCCATGGGATTACGTGGGAGGACCCGTACAGTTGGATGTCTAATCTTAATGACAAGGTGGCCATGCGCCATATGGACGTTTACATGGAGCAGGAGGAGAAATACACGGAGGCAGTTATGTCTGAGACTGAGCGCCTCCAGAGTAAGCTCCAATCAGAGATGGCCGCCCGAATGGCCTTTGAACTTTCTACTCCTCCACTTCGCTGGGGCCCTTGGTACGTATCTCGCCTCTCTCTCAACTCATCTCGCTCAGATTATTCTCTCAAATGTCCTGCTTTTTGTTGTTGAAACGAATAACTTTAGCATACCCAGCAAGTTCCCCCTATTTTTGCTTCCAACTTCGGAGTGTTAGCGTTTCTACTCTTCCTTCTACTACTTCGAAGTAGATGTTGGTGTGTGCAGGTTGTATTATCGACGTGCTGAAGAAGGAAAGCAGTACCCTGTTCTGTGTAGAAGGTTGGCGAGCCTGAACGAGGAGTTTATATCAAATAAATCTCCTTCGGCAGGATTCGATTTTGCATCAGGGAAGAGAATTGAGCAGAAGCTCCTAGACTATAATCAAGAAGCAGAGAGATTTGGCGGTATTATCAATCTTAATTCTTTTCTGTGTACAGTTATCTTAGTGCAATGTAGTTAGGACTTTTGTACTCTTATGACAAGAAAAGGGTTGGATTGCTTTTTAACGCGAAAGAAAAAGCACCTTTGGTTCTCTGTAAGTAAATAGAGTTGTCGTAACTGCTAAAAATTTTCCTTACTTGTATAGGTTATGCTTACGAAGAATTGTCGGAAATTTCACCCAACCATCAGTTTCTTGCGTACACTATGTATGATAAAGAAAATGACTGCTTTAAGCTGTCTGTGAGAAATTTAAATTCTGGTTCGTTATGTAGCAAGCCTCAGGCAGATCGGGTTTCGAATTTGGCATGGGCAAAAGATGGGCAAGGATTGCTTTATGTTGTAACAGATCACATGAAGAGACCCTACCGGTGGGTAAATTGCTCAGTTTATCAATTCCTTTTTGCCCTCAAGCATTAGAAGTATAAGGAAAAACCCTTTGTTTTTTATACGTCTGAGATTATCAGCAGTGAAATTTATGTAACTTCTGAATATCCCAAACTCCGCTGTATAGGATCTACTGCAGTATGATTGGATCAACTGATGAGGATGTACTGCTTCTGGAAGAATGTGATGAAGGCGTTCACATTAATATAAGACACACAAAAGATTTCCGTTTTGTGACTGTAAATACGTTCTCTATAATGTCTTCAAAGGTACCATATTGTAGAATCCAACAAGCCAAGATCCTTATCAACTCTCAATCATTTAGTGATCGTAACCATATTTTAGGTCTTTCTGATAAATGCAGCTGATCCTTTGTCGGGCATGACATTAGTCTGGGAGTGTGATGCTCTAGCTCACTGCATAGTAGAGCATCATCAAGGTTTCCTTTATTTATTTACAGATGCTCCAAAAGGTGGCAAATCAGCCGATAGTCATTATCTTCTTCGCAGTGCAGTGAATGATTTTTCAAATCCAAGAAAATGGGAGGTAGGTTGAAGCATTGGTTAGTTATCTGTGGTTTGCTTTCTTTTTTTTTCAATTATTCTTTGAAATTTTAATTATATAATTGGTTATTTTAGGCAATGAAATATAATGTGAGACTCTATCTTGTGGTACTTATAATACTTACTTGACTTGTTAATATATACTGCTTTTACTTGATTTTAGTAATTTAATTCGTGTAGCATGTTATATAAACTGCAGGAAGTATTTGTTAATGACCAAAATTTGATTGTGGAGGATGTCGATTTTTGTGATAAATACTTAGTGCTCATTACAAGGGAAGGGCGAAAGTTTCAGCTTTGTTCTGTTACACTGCCGCTACCCTCTGGGAAGGTAATGAAAGTGCATTTAAATGTCGTTGCTTCAGCAGATAAAACTTTTTTTTTTTTTTTGGGTAAGTCAGCAGATAAAACTTTTGGTGCATGCATACTTTATGATCTCATTTAGTGTGTTTCCTTCCGGCCTCTTTGTTTTGTGGGCAGGGGACTATTAAACTGAGGGAGCTGGACCTACAGTATTTGCCTCTTCCAAAACATGTTTGTCAAATTTCACCTGGACCTAATTATGACTACTTCTCATCAGTGATGCGCTTTATAATATCATCACCTGTGGTATGTGATTATGTTTTTAATGATTTTGGAGATGGTCTCTTCACTTGCTTTTATGGATTTTTATATATTTCATTTCCATATCATAAGAATTATAAATGACCACTGACCAATCAATGCTGAACGGGTCCCATGGTATCAAGATGGTTAGGATGTTTTGATATTAATTTGTTATTGATCTGTTTAGGAATATAGCTTATTCATCTCATGGATGATGGTGCAAATAGTGAGTAAAAGTTCAATTATTTCATAGATTATTGGTGAATCTCTTTCTCTTCATGTTGATTTTCCTGCGACTTTACACTTTTTTCTGGGTATATGCAACATTACACGGGTGTTATTTTTTTGCTTTCTAAGTTTGTTCGGTCTACTACTACTTTGGTCCTTAGCAGTTATTCTTTATGCCAATTTATAATAAGCCCATCGTTACATATTCGTTAGAACAACACCTAAATTCATTTACTCTGGCCTTTGTTGGTCATTTTACAGTGGTGACTAGCAACTTGGGTTGAAAGAAACCATCTACAAATCCTAAGATATTTACCATATCAAGCTTTCTTGCAGATGCCTGATGCTGTGGTTGATTATGACCTGACAACTGGTTGTTGGACCATCATTCAACAGCAAAATCTGCTTCGGGAAAGAACACAAGTACTGTATGGTACAAGTTCTGCAAGTATAAGCCGGGACACCTCATACCCCAAGTGTTCCAATTCTTTGAATGCCGATGTTCAAGATGACCTTTTATGGAATAGTCTTTCTGAGTTCTATGCTTGTGAACAATATGATGTTCCTTCATTTGATGGGGTCATGGTTCCTTTGACTATTGTTTTTGCACATGACAGTAAGAACAAGAATAAAAGGCCCGGGTTACTGCATGGACACGGAGCTTATGGCGAGTTGCTTGATAAACGGTGGCATGGTGAACTGAAAAGCCTCTTGGATCGTGGTTGGGTCATTGCTTATGCTGATGTTAGGTAAGCCCCAAGTAAAACGGCAGTATACACTTTTTATACAAACATTCTTAAATTGTTCTGCTTGTTATCAAATATAATTGTGCATTTGCTTCTGAATATAATTGTGCATTTCGTTATCAAAAAATATATATATATAATTGTGCATTTACTTCTGAATATCTGCAAACTTTCCATATGAATCCCTATTTTTTCTGAAGTTTATAATTTGGCTGTTATGGTTCAGAGGTGGTGGTGGTTGTGGTAAGGAATGGCATCATGATGGCAGACGTACAAAGAAACATAATTCGATCAATGATTACATGTCTTGTGCCAAGTTCCTGATTGAAAGAGATATTGTGGATGAAGATAAACTGGCAGGTTGGGGATATAGTGCTGGAGGCCTTTTGGTTGCTTCAGCCATCAACCGTTGCCCAGATTTATTTCGTGCTGCTATCTTGAAGGTTTCCAAGAATTTCTGCACCTGGGATTTTCATTTCTTTGGCTTTGGAGTTTATATTTATTTGCTTTAGATCTTATTAATTCTCATTCCCTTCTTTCTTCTGGTTTCTACTTTAGGTACCATTTTTAGATCCCACCAACACTCTTCTATATCCTATCTTACCACTTCTACCTGTTGACTATGAAGAGTTTGGCTACCCCGGGGACCTTGATGATTTTCTTGCTATTCGGGATTATTCTCCTTATGACAATATTCAGAAGGATGCTCTCTATCCACCTGTATTAGTGACCTCTTCTTTCAATACACGGCAAGTCCCCTATGACAATTATTCTTTCTGTCAGCTGGTGGTTATCTAGCTGGATGATTTGTGGAGCAGTGGTATGCATGGAAAAGTGGCAAAAAAGTGACTTGAGTGTTTTTCCTTGTTTGTTTAGCATTCCTTGTTCATAATGTTCTTAATTGAAATTTAATTATGCTGAGTCATTTTACTTTCCTTTAGCTGGGCCTGGATTCAATCAATAATTGTGTTGCCGTAACATTACTATCTGTGTTTTGACGCTTGAGCGTATCAAAATATTCATCTCGAGTACCCTTTGTCTTGGTCTGTTCTTTATACTAAGACTGGATTTTCTGCCGGCCGTTTCAAATGTAAAATATAAATAGTAAAGAATATAGCGCGTGTACTAGTTTGAAAATATATTGGTTCCAACGTTAATTTAACACATGGCAATTGAGGCAAGTAATGACAAAAATCTCCTTTATTTGGAAGTATAATGTTAGTATATTTAGATCGGGTCATGAGTTAGTCTGCTGTGTAGATGACAGCCTGACTGGAGTCTGCAGTTATGGAAAATGAGGTTTTGCTTGTTTTAAATTTTAAATCCTTCAAAAATAACTTGTATTGAGGTTTATCTTATGCTGTATGATTGGATTAGATGAATCTTCAAGCCCTTGATTTCCTAAATAACGGTTCTTTTCTTTCGAGGCTCTTGACACCTTAAAATACGGACGTGCATTGCACCCTATGAAAACATTTGGATGACGTGCTTTGTGGATATTTCAAAATATACATAACTGATCTTCACGTAAACTGCTTACAGCAGATATTGTACTTACGGTTCTCTTTTGATCATGATTCAGATTCGGTGTGTGGGAAGCAGCGAAGTGGGTTGCACGAGTCCGTGATCTTGCCATTTATGACCCAAAAAGACCAATACTGTTAAATTTGACCGCAGATATAGTAGAGGAAAACCGTTATCTGCAGAGCAAGGAGTCAGCATTAGAAGCTGCGTTTCTAATTAAGATGATGGAATCCTAGATATGCCCATTGATCATCACCACGTAGTGTTCACTGGATATGAGAATGAATACGTGAATTATTTGCTTATCTATTGCGCATGAATTAGGCATCCGATTGCAGCTTTCTTAGGGGTTCTGTGATCATGTCTTCATTAACTGTAAATAATATTTAGCATTGTGCAAATTCAGTTTTGATATGTCACTGATTGCTAGAGATCGGTCACATGTATTTCTGAGTGCCCTCATCTCATTGCAATCAAAATGAGAGCAACGGGACTGCAGGGAGAGCTTTATCCGAGGCGCCGGGTTTTTATCAACTTTCCGCCCAGAAAGCGGGAGAGGATGGTGTTGCATTGTCTGTTTTTTCGTTTCGTTTTGGTCTGTTTTAGTAATAAAAGACCATGTTAACAGTTATTCGAGCTTAACAGCTCCGTTGTATTGGCGGCCGAAACCTATTAATGTATCAGCCTCTCTTGCGAGATTTTTTCTTAACAAGCATATGTATTTTCTATTAGACGCAGTTACCTTCCGGACACTACCAGGTATTAAAAAATGTGTGCACTGAGTAGGGATTCAAAATGATATGACTTTGCAATCACCGATATAAATCTATCAATAAATAAAGTCATAAAAAATAAATCTATAAATAATACTAGTCCTTAATATAAGACCCTGTTTGATTTTTATTTTGATCTTAAATAAAAGAATATAATTTACCTTGTCTCTCATATTTATACATTTTTTCTCAAAATAACCTTTTTAGTAATGATAGTTTTAGTCAATACACTTGAGTAGTAAGGATATTTTAGGAAAGACAACACCTATTTAGAATAAATAACCAACTCAACTTATTTTCTTAATCTCCTCAAATTAGTCAACTGGCTCTTATAATTAAGATCGGAGGTAATATAATAATTTTAACAAGTGGAAATATTCAGAGGTGTGTGTGTGTGTAAAATAGCATGTTTCTTTAGTGCAGTATCCGGGCATTATATGTTAATTTGTGATAAAATTAGCCATGTACAAAATTTGCAAGAAGCCAGATAAAAGGGGTTTAAACCATTTGGAAGGCAGTTTAGGAATAGAGGGTGAAGAACTTGAGGCACTAATTGAAATCATTTGGAGGGCGGTTTGGAATGGGGATCATCATCCATTTTCCAATAAAATGATGCCAGGATAAAATTCACAAGTACTATATCTCACTGCGTAGGAGGATGGTTTGTATGGCAATATAAGCATCTTTTCACGAAGAAAAGGTTAGAACCAGAAACAGCCAAATCAAAAATGACCTTGGCTGACTGGGGAATCCATGGGTGGCCTTTTTCCTAGGTAGGAGGATGGTTAGGACGACACAGCTATAATCATGCGCTTTAGACGACAAACTCCACTTTTTTCAAAGCACCAGCCTCATTTGACAACTCAAAATGATGAGTTCAAGATCTTCTTTGTCTTGCTATCATGTCTCTTTTTCTTTCTTGCTCTTTCTCCCTTTTTTTAAACACTATTTGATACAAACCATGCAATTCTTCCCGCAGTTGGTCCCGAACGGCAGGTGGGTTAGAAAAACAGGTCTACGTATGCTTCTTCTTGTTTGGTAGTGTTCGTATTTTTATTATTATTGGGCCTTTTCCTAATTTAATTTAAATTGTCGAAATTCCATGGACCCTGCTGTAGTTTCCGGTGGCGGAAAAAGGAAATTGACTAGCTTCAGGATAAACAAGCAAATCCACTTTGAAGGGTCAACCTCCAGTCATAAGCAGAGTGGCCTGCCAATCGCACATAAATGTCAACTCAACCGTTTGTGGTTAAGCAAGCTCTGTCGTCTTAACTTACAAAGGCCACAAAATAAGTAAAGCCTATAAGTAATCTGTACATCAAGTCAACCCATCAAATCAACCGGTTGCATCCCACCTAAAATGTTTTAATCCACGTTCCTTGTTGATTTCACCTTATCAATTAGGTTGGATAGACATTTGTGTTTTCCGTTCACGTTTGAAGCAGACTGCGTGGTGTTTCTAAGGCTTAAGTGCAGCACAAGGACAACTCTCGCCTTGTCTAGCTGCTCTAGCTGCCAGCCATCCTTGGTCTTTATGACTTGGTGTTGCTTCCTTCCTCTTCTGTGAGTTCTGGGATTAAAGCTTTTGCAGCCATTTTGTTTTTCTTATTCGGCCTTCATGCTTTTCATCATCGCTTGTGATGAAAAACCTATTAAACTAAATGAGTAGCTAGTACGATTATATCATTTATATGATAGAGGGATAAAACTAAAACTTAATTGATAATGATCATCTTCCTTTTTATTTCATGTTTCCGTTTGATTCAACAGACTTGACAAGGTTTGAAATCCAACAACACAATGCTGCCATCGCCTTTAATTCTGTAAAAGAGATGTGAAACTTCCACGTTCACAATATATCTTAGTTACACTGATAAAATCTCAAAATATGGAGAGTTCCTGGAAATCAAGCAGATATCAATTTCCAAAGAAAAAAAAAAAAACCTGTCAGAATCCCGTTCATGTCTTTTTAAGCTGAGGCCTAAGTTTTCCAGCTATATGTCTTCACTTAGCTTAGGCTAAAGACGCAATTGGCTTCATTGCATGAATCCAAGCATTCAACCATTGTTGCTCGTCGTGCTGAGCTTGCCTATCAGAAGAGGGCCATAACCTCTGTGCCGAAACCATCCTCCAACAGTATCAGATAGATTCTTCGAAGTACTAAATAATGATCCAAAATGTTTAGGACAAACCTCGACAGAATCATTAGACGACCTCTGCATTCTGCATCTAGGAAGGGTCAGCTTTTGAGAACTGGGATGGAAGCATCTGAATAATATATAGAGTAAATTAAATCACCCTATTCCCACACACACACACATCACTACTCCAATAGTATGAAAATTTGATTGCAAAATATGAAGGACAAAAGGAGAGTCTAAATCCAGATGGCTATATTATAATAGGAAGTTCCAACAAAAAAAAAAATCTTTCTAAACAGTATGATTATACAAAGTCAATATTAATAATCCAAGACAAAACTTACAAGCTTCACAATTTCCAGCAGGACGTCCTAATAAACCAGTAGATCCTAACATGAAGCTCCGATTATATTTTATCCAGAGAGCACAGCGGGGGGGATCTTCAAAATCAACGAGCAACAAAACAAAACTTGGAGCAAAATCAACGCAATCGGGAATCATCAAACAATAAGGCATAACAGAACAACGAACCTGGAGGACAAAATGCAGTGGTTCCACTTACATAAATCCTCTCCTGATATTGCCCAAACAAGACAAATAAAAACCATGGAGATTGTTCAGTTCCAAAAAAAAAAAAAAAAAAGCTATCGAGATTGAGATGCTGTCCACAGATTAACGTAAAAAGGCATGATGTCACTGTCAATGCTTGTGATGATCACGGAAATCATTAAATAGCAGAATTGCATTCTGTCTGGAAAGAAACTGATGTACAGAATTCACATTAAGTCGCCATAGATCATCCATAAATCAACAATCAGGCACATCTATTTCTTTCCTTTTCCTTTTATCCGCTATCCAATTTAAGATTCCTGATCATATCAATTCTCATTCAGGGAAGTGACCTTAAGCTGAAGATTTGAAATGGGAAGCACATTAACTGATTACTGAACCTCTTGAAAAAGGGTTTTTTTTTTGGGGGGGGGGGGGTACGCACGCCAATTTTGTGATATATCAAGTTTATGATAATTTATCATCAACGTCTTTAATTTGATAGGGCACAACATAAGTAAAAGATAAACCTACTGCTACCTCCGGTCTTAATTATAAGGTCTCGTTTGTAGTCTATAAACAAGACCTTATAAATAATATCGGAGGTAGTATATTTTAAGGACTGCTTGTAGTCACTTCTTAAAAAACAAAACAAGTTATTTTTATGCAGAAATAAATGGGTCTAAACTTCTGATGTGAACTTTTGGGCATAGGCTTAGAGAAGAAATCAACAAAGTAATAATAGAGAGATGCTGACACTTGCCTTGGCCATTGGCACCGCTGATATAACTGCGATAGACTTGAGTCATCTACATCCTCATTTCTTTTACAATCAAAACGCTTTTCTTTTGCTTATTCACAGATTCACGGCCCTTTAAATGTTGGTGTTAGAGCAAAACTACATTAAAGGCGCATATTAAAAAGTGTTCTAACCTCTCATTATTTTTCTTCCCTCCTTTTCAAAAGCATTTGATCTAATAAATTGAAGCTTGCGGTGCTAATATCCCTACCATCATCCATACAACAAAAAAACAAAAACAAAAGGAAGAATAAAAAGTAAGCATAACCCTCACAGTGAAGTGGCCATAATTGTTGCCTGATAGTAAAGCTGAAAAACTAACTCCTTGGCTTTCTTTATTACAAAATTTCTAAGCTTTCCCAAGAAAATTCATGCACATCAACTCTGATACAAGAAGATAACAGTCGGAGAATCTTCCAGCGATCAAGTATACTTGCTGGTTTAAGATTTTACAAAAAATGGCACCTATTAATCACCAGCCTAAGTCAAGATGAATGGTAGAAGCCCTGTTTGTTACCGGGGGGGGGGGGGGGGGAGTCCAAACTGTTATTGAGTTAAGCAGAGAAAATCACCAAACAGTTTGATACTCGTTTGAAATGACTTATAAGTAGCTTTTCAATCATAATTTACGAAATACAAGATGAATATGTAAGAAAAATTTTGTTCCGACTTACATGAAATATGTTAATAAGTATTTTCAATCGTGATTCCAAACAAGCTTTTGATCAATTTAGCATCCATTACAGTACCGGACAAAGGACTAAGCCTTAAACACCCCAGATTAAGGCATCAGAAATAATCAAATGAAACGTTATTTGGCATATTGGACTTAAGTTATTTAAGTCACAGGATTTTTTAAACTTAATTCTGACTTTCTTGTACCATCAAATGACAAAAAATTAGTAGAAAGAAAAACTTTACTGAAATAATTAATCTTTTCCGAGCTGTTATAAATTCACCATAGAGATGCATGTGTCAGGGTTCAGTTCTCGCTTCCCAGTCAAATATAACTTTCAGTTATAACATCAAAGACATCAAAGTCAGAACACAGTTATTGATCTGAATGGTATCAGACAACAGCATAAGATAAGCTCTAACTTTGTACAGAAGTTGCAAATCCTTTTGTATGCAACACAAGCAAAATGTTTACTGATAGAAGTCCCACTCATACAATCTGAGTCAAGTACACTGGCTTTCTAGTAGTAACAAATCTCTGAAGCCAACTCTCCAACAAGATGGAAGAGGCAAGTAAAATATGTAAGTAACAAGAAACATGAATTAAAAATATTCACCAGCTTTCCTTGTGTGGCTTTGAAGTAGAGATGAGTAATTGTCTATCTGGCAGCATACAAAAGATCACTGATCCATTCTTTTGCAGATTCCGGCAGCTAGCCAATTTAAAAACTTCTTGAAAATAATCTTTTTCAAGTCCAGTTCCAAAATTGAATAAAATCACCAGAAGCTATTTTGTTTTGATCTTATGTCTCTGAACCTTCTTGAACAGTAGGAAGGCTATCTTCTCGGATAAATGAAGGACTAAGGAACTTTGCAACAAAAGCCCACAATTTATACACATCCTCAAAATTAGTCAGAAATCCCAGAGAAGCTGTAACAACTTCAAGACGAACAAAGCCACCTTTTCCATCACGACAACCATTCTCCATTGGCCTACAAAGAGTTGTATCTTCAAGACTCAGAGGACCACGATGATGTCTTGAGTTATCAAGAATTCGTATGTGACTCAGGAAACCAATGCCCAGAGAGATTCCTTCTTTTTCAGCAAGCTTCTGAACAATCTCCGGATTGATTAGCCTCCCGTTTCTGTCCCTGACATTAAAAGCCACAGCTGCACCTCTTTCATATTTAATTTTTGGACCATAGATTTGGACAAGATTTGCTTTATCATCTAGGCCCGGCAACTTCAGTTGCAGCAAAGAGGTGACCAGCCAATTAATCAAAAATCGAAGTCTAAGTGTGGTTTTATTGAGACCAAGCATATTAATATGATCCAAGTGCCGGCATACTATATCTGGTTCCCTCCTGCCCCAATCTTGTACATCACCATATTCTCCATCACTTGTGTACTCTTCATCCTCTAAGCTAGTTGCACATATGTCCCCTGGTTCCAAGGCATGGCTAAGACACTCTTTACGATTATCCTCCATGCTAAACGAGACTCTTCTTCCCTTGTTATATGATTCATTCTCCTCCAAACCGAAAAATCTACCACCACCATATCGATTCCCTTCCCTTCTATCAAGCAATCTAAAATCACCTTCAGTTTCCCTTCTTATGGCACTCTCTTTAATCTCAGAGGATATTTCAGAGGTACAGCCATTTTCAAAGCTGTGATGCTGAGCAACAGAAGATGAATTATTAGTCCGTGATCCTTTTGAAGCAACAGCTGGTACGGATCCAATATTAGCTGCTTCACTAGTTCCTGGTTCTTCCTCAATCTCATTGACAAACAAATGATCAGACCCATTACCATTTCTTGAAAAGTCACTCGCTTCAGCAAAATGTTCCTCTTCAGGGACCTCTTTTACATGATCAAGTTCCTGTGACACTGACAGCACAGCAGCATCAAATGAAAGCACGTGGTGGTCATCATGAGGATCAAGATTTGCTGCTTTATCATCATACATGGGGCTCCCATATATTTTAGAAGTTGGCTTAGGAGAATGTCGCTTTTGATTCGTCTTTCCACTGAACCAAAAGGGCGGAAGAGGGGAAGCTATCTTCTGTTTATTCAGTTGACCTGTGTGGTCAGATCCCAATGGACTCTGTCCCAAATCAATCCAATAAGAGTTGTCCGATGACTCATCCTCACTGAAGACAGGGCTCTTCATCACCTCCCCAACTGAAATACTCTCAGTTTCTTCGAATATGGTGCTTGTTCCATCTCTTTCAGAGCTATCTTGATCCATTTCAGTCTCAAATACATCTCGGACCTGAGCAGATGTAAATGCACCAGAAAAGGCTGGCAACTGTGATCCTTGACGAGGTTCACCAGGCTTTTCACCCATCCCAGTGACTTCATCATCTTCAATCCCAGTCAATTTGTCCAAACCATCAACAGAGTCACTCAAATACAAAGGAAATTCAGGAGTGATCTTCACCATTCCAGACCCAGTGCTCCCTGACTGATTCTGAAGGTTTGCCATAACTGATTTCTTGATGAGAAGGCATCCAAATCCAGTGGGGTCATAACCAAATACCCTGTAAAAAGACGTGATTATAAAGTCTGGCCTGAATAGAGACAAGCCAAGCGAATCCATGTCCTTAGGACCCAATGACCCTGCATCAAGCAAGACGTGCCAGTTGTTTTGCTGCGCTAGTGCCATCCACTGGTAAGAATACTTGGCCCCAGTTACTCTAGACTGAACAGGGAACACAAAAAGACCGGTAGCAGCATCTTTCTTCCGCCTCTTCTTGTTTGAAATCTGTTTCCTCAAATCAGTGGAACAGAGTTTCAGGGTAGGCCATTTAAACCACGCACTGTGCACTTTTGCACCCTTCGCCCTGGCACATTGAGCCATCCAAGCCACAGACTGGCTCTCGTGGTCGAACATGGTCAGCAATTTTTTGTTTGTGTGGAAAGGGTATGACTCAGCCAGCAATCTAAATGCGGATCCTCTACTGACAGTAAAGACAAGACCGTACTCATTCTCAGGTATGTTCAAGTAATCCATGATTCGAGTCTTTATATCATGTTCCACGGTTCCCTTTTCAGCGCCACCATAAAGTGCATGGTTACTCAAATTTGCAGTTATCTCAGACAGACTAAATGTAGAGGACTCCCAATAGTGAATGGTCTGAACAAAAGAGAACAGTCCAAATCCACAATAATCAAGGCATACCTTTGGAGACAAATGCGAATATTCATCCGACCTCAACTGATCGATCTTCTCCGATGACTGGTATTTGGGATACATTGTAAGGAACTTGCTGAAAGCTTCTTGAAGAGTGGGAATTTCGTCCTCAGACTCAAATATGCGCTCAGCAGCAAGCGCAGTTGCTCGAAGAAATTCACGCTGAGCGTGAAGCCTGGCAAGTGACCGGGATCTCCCGAGGCTTTCGTCCATTTTGCCAGGCGAATCGGTTTCCATGTCTTGAGATTTGATGAGTGACCCATCTTCAGAAGCCTCTTCAAGAGCTTCCCTCAGCTTGTTCTCCTGTAATTTCCGAAGAATTGACCGGCTTCTTCTCATTTCAACTGTAGATTCATCCTTACGTCTGCTCTTTTTGTCCATGATCAGAGCAGCGCAGTGAGTAATGGGCTTCCATAGTGAAAGATGCATGATAGCCTCCTGTGTGGAAGTAGACCAGACAGTTCAAACAATACCAGCAAAAGGAGTTAGCCCATGCGAAACAAGTTTGGTTTCAGACCCTTGACTCCTGAAACAGAAAAAAGGGCAATATGGAAGCCGATCGTAAAGACTAGTGCTTTCGGTTTACGCAGAGATCAAACCCAAAAATCACAGATTTTAACCAATGCAAGACCTCTAACAAGAAATCTCGGCACTCTGACAGAGAAAACAAGCAATTTAGCACAACGTTTCACGCAAAAACTGACCAAAAGTTCTCCCGAACCCAGAATGGGTCTCAACACCCAATCCTCGAAACAGAAAGGAAAGCCAGGAAACACAAAGAAAGTCAAAGACTCGAGACCTAAAACTCAACCCAGATCCCGACCAGTCACAAATCAGCCCCCGGCCACCAGAAACCGGAAAGAAAAGAATCTGCGACAAGTGGGGTTTCACAGAGAATTATACGGAACTGACATAAACACATAACTTCGACGGGAACCAAACACCAGGAAGACTTCGGAGACCTATCCCCCCCTCTCCTCCCCCCTCTCTCTCTGATTCCTCTCTCCAGTGCGGCGGAGTTAAAGCAAAGCCCTTCCCAGTTCACATTCTATCAGATGCTCTTTCACCAGGACAGAAGTAAAACCAAAACACCGGTATTGATTTTTTTCACCAAACAACCAAAAAGTGAAAAAAAAAAAAAAACGAAAACCAAAGAAAAGCAAATGCGGGAGATTAATTAATCCCACGTACTGTATCTCTTTGACCAAGAACCGTGCCCCCGCAATCTTGTTTCGCTCCAAAATCAACTTTAACATACAGGAAGCACGGACATTGACTCTCACAAAATCCAAATTGTGATTATTTTTTTCGGTTATTAGGCCCGCACTTATTTCATTTAATTGAAATTAAAATTGTGGTTTCCTCGTCTGCGTTGAATGGGACCCACAAGAGCCTTTCCTCAGGCCTCAAGTCAAATAATCAGCTGCCTTGTAAAAGCTGTTTTCTGTCCAACTGGGCAATCCAGAGTTCGAAGTCCGATGCCCCAAGAAGCTCTAGATTTGTATTTCCAAAACCCTGATTAATTAACACTCGCCCCCAACGTAGTGGTTTGTTTTAATTATATTTTCATTATATTGTCATTATTATGGTACTTACTGCGTATCTTCTCTCCAATCAAGGAGGGGGGAAAGTCTCCTCAGTAAATTAGCATTTTTCTTTTTTTATTTATTAGTTTACTGCGACTTTATCCTCTTGGTCTTCCTTTTCCCAGTAGGATCGTTAAAAAAACAAAAGAAAATTATTTTCACAATCACTTTGTTTTATAAAATACAGTAAAAAGATTATAGTTTAAAATAAAACATTGATTAGATTGGTTTAGATTATAAATTCATAATCGCGCGATCATTCACCCACTAAAAATGAGGTCTTTTATTGACTACACCATTAATTTTAGGGCAAATTTCACTGTAGGACCGCACAAGACAATTAATCTCAAAGAGCCCCCAAAACTTTCTGAAATCTCACTGCAGGACCAAGAGGCCAATCTGATATTAATTCCACAAACGAAATGACGCCACTACCCTTAGCATCAGGTGAACCAGTCCACATGTGAACGGACTGATTCCACGTGTGAATATATGTATTTATTCTGCAAATTGGTTAGTTCCTCTTGCAAATGCGCTTTCCCGCACTTTTTCCCTCACGGACGCATACATCAGGGGAACCAGTCCACATGTGAACGGACTGATTCCACATGTGAATATATGTATTTATTCTGTAAATTGGCTAATTCCCCTTGCAAATGCGCTCTTCCGCACTTGTTCCTTCACTGACGCATGCATCAGGTGAACCAGTCCACATGTGAACGGACTGATTTCACGTGTGAATATATGTATTTCATCTGCAAATTGGCTAGTTCCCCTTGCAAATGCGTCTCCCACACTTGTTCCCTCACGAACGCATGCATCAGGTGAACCAGTCCACATGTGAACGGACTGATTCCACGTGTGAACATATGTATTTATTCTGCAAATTGGCTAGTTCTCATTGCAAATGCACTCTCCCGCACTTGCTCCCTCCTACTAGGGGCAGTGGCGTCATTTCATTTGTGGAATTAATATCAGATTGGCCCCTTGGTCCTGCAGTGAGATTTCAGAAAGTTTTAGGGGCTCTTTGAGATTAATTGTCTTCTGCGGTCCTACAGTGAAATTTTCCCTTAATTTTATCTGTTCTGTTTGATAGCACTTGGGAATTGCCTGTGGTATTTTGAGACTATTTTGTTTTGTGTATGGCAATGAGCAACGTCAAGTCAAAAGTTCCTTGTGTTACAATACAGAGCTTTTGAATTTCTTCATAAAACTGCATTGGTGTCCCAAAGGTTCTCGCTTTACTTTTTCCTCCAAAGATGTTGCTTTGAAGTTCAAATCTCCGAATTCAAACTGAAGGAAACCAATACTGTAATTCTATTTTTCTCCTGCAGTGTCAGATTTTGATTTTTGCTTGGAAACTAAAGTGAATGCCCTGTTTTTTTTTTTTTGACCGGGAAAGTGAATACCCTATTGATAGAAGTCACATTGCTTATAGTTTATAGATGGTGTGGCTTATGTAACATTATTTTTTATTGCTGATTTTTTTTTGCTGACAAAATATTGCATGAAAATATATATAATCCAAACCCAACTGTTGAATTATAAAAATTCGCAAAGTCGGTCCTTGTATTGAGGGTAACATGCTTGATTTTGTGCCCAAAAAAAAAACAAGAGAAAATGATAGTTTGCTTGAGGGTTTTGTTTGTTGTGCCAGCCCTTTTGTTTTTGGCCAGAGTTTGTCGTGCCAGCTTAATAATATTTATTTATCCCTTAAATGAGAAAAACGAGATTGCTGCGTGATTTAAATAACACGTTGACTGTTGAGGGAGGACTGGTCAACTCCTGCCACAGGATAAATCAAAGCCACAGATGCAAGAGATGCCTTCAAAGATCACCCCAAACATTATCTCTGCTTGGTTGACATTTCTAACATGATAACTCGCAATGCATCCATAAAACTTTATGAATATTTCTTTAATACTCACCCCCATCTTTATTCATAACCCGCTTTTTATTCATTTGCATAAATTAAAATTTTAATTAAAACGTTGTTCTTAGAGCTATATCGCTTTTTTTTTTTAAAAAAAAATGGTCCTAGTTGAGTAATGAAATAAATTTTAACCCAGTCTTATTCGTATGTGTGTTTTAATATTTATTTTCGATATAATTAGTTAATTACTTAACAATATCCATGCCAGCGGAATTAGTTGCTCTTAAATTTATGTATATATGATATAGAAGCTTTTAAAAATTGGCCTACAAGTAGCAGGAGGGAAAAAACATACAAAATGGAAGCATCTTGTGAGAAGCAATTTATTGAATATGAAAGCAAAAAACGAAAAGGATTAACGGTTTTATCAAATTCAGTGATATTAAAACTGCAAGTTAAATTGGTTAAATAGGTCAACTTGCTCCGAAGAGCGGATTAAACAGGGAGTCCTTTTTTTTTTTTTTAAACCAGCAACGGGGGTCTTATTCAATCCTCCTTGTTTAGTGGATTGACAGTTAAAACGTGACTCATTAACTGAACCTGCACCGTGAATAAAGTGGTATTAACTCATTTTTCCGAACAACTTAAATAAAACACTTAATTATTGATGTCAGAAAACAAACAAATGTCCCCGTCACTAATGTCTTGAGCTTCAACGATCTTTTAGTTTTGTCCCATAATAATGGTTTCACTATAAAAATCATGGATTTAAAAATCTTATTGATAGGCAATCTATAAATACTTTAGCAAGTGCTCTTTAAACTCTGAGACTGATGAGCTTTCAGAATCCAACTCATATAAACTTTTCTCTTATAAAAAGTTTAAATGTATTTAGTAAGGTCCATTAATGTTCATAGTTTGCTTCAAAAAGCCTTATAAATTGTAATACTGTGGGGATTAGTAATCGAGAAGGACACAGGAAATATTATTGGAAGTTAATCAGGACATCCATATTTAATTAGGTTAGGTGGTGCGGTTGATCCTTTCCCCACACACAAACTGCAATGCTAGCCAGTCTTTTACCATTTGCCTCCACAAAATAATATTTTAAATAACTGAATTACGTTTAATAAACTAACAATTAAAATTAGCTAAAAATAATAAATATGTTAAAAATATTATTTCATCTAAGTTTGTCCCTATTTACTAAGAAAGTAAATAAGAGAGACAATAAATGAAAAAAATAATAAAAAAGAATATATGATGATAATATTAATAAAAAAGAGAGAAAGTACTAAATGCAACCAATTAAAAGCAAAATAGGGAAAAAAAAAGTAATAAATACTTAAACAAACTAAAAAATAAAGCTTATATTTTAAACCAGACTTTTTTCCAAAAAATGAAGTTTATGTATAAAACTAGAGGAAATGGTTTAGAAAATGTCCATCTCAGAGTAAGGCTTTAGGCCCACACAGCTCGATAGATATGAGAGAAGAGGGCAAAAGATTTTAGAAAGAATTACAATGAAGTCTTAAATAAGAAAAATAATTGAAAAACAAATTTTAAAGATTGTCATTCTTCATTATAAGACTTGTTATTATAAACTGTTGAGGTTATTATTAAGACTTTTTGATAATTATTTCTCTGATGTGAGATTTCACAGTAGTTCTCTCAACATTTTACTCACCACTGTACAAGATCTAAATCAAAGGGGCAGGCTACTGCCTAGGGGAGACCCGAGAGGGGTGCTTACTGGAAATAAAAATCCCGATAGAATAAGATAAGAATGCCGAGGAAGAAAAGAATAGGATTAATGGAAAAGTTAGAAGCCTTTATCTGGTTTGTGGCGGTTTGTGGCTGCTTTTTGCGTCCATGGCAAAAAGCAAAGCCACTCATTGAACGAGCCTCTGTCTTCACTCCCTGCATAAAAAAGTAAAAACACGCTTATCTGTAAGAATGCAATGATTCCTCGAGAGGGCCGAACCCACTTTGAACAGCTCAGTATTAATGGCATCTCCCTCCATTATACCTTCTCCCACATCATTTCATCATGTGACTACAACGTTAACCTCCAAATTATGAGTTGCATGTAATAATACAATCATCGTCAAATATACTACTTATTTCATAGTATAAATTACATTTTGAAAAGAGTCTTATATTTAGAATCAGAAAAGTAACATTTATAATGTGCAATACTGTTTAGTTAATAACGGTTTGAACACGTGAGAGATACAACTGTAATTGAATCCATCCTCAGATCAACTCAACTTGCAAATATATCTCCAACAAATCAAAAAACTTGTACCATAGTTAGAACTTACTGGAACGTAAACATACCAAATACCAGTACCAATAGAATTTGCATGCACAAACAAAAGGAATCTAAATTAGGAACTGCCAAAGGCGGCAAAAGATACTGCTTTCGTAACTCCAAATCTAGGATTCCATTGTATGAATGGGCAGGCACAAAACCCTAGAAGCTAAGTGGCCAGGAAAAGAGAAAAAGCAGTTACGACATTACAGATTTTTTTCCCCGTCTGCTTTTAACTTTATTGACATCATTATTCGTTTTCCATGGAACAATTTGACTAATGGCGAAAGGGCGAGTAGGTGGACTGGTGTTTGTTCTTTTCCTTTGTCAAAAGCAGGCACACTGAAAATTCTAGTTTTCTCCCCGTATTCTCCACCCCTCTTCACCCATTCAAGTCCATCGTTTTATTATTTATACGCTGCAAATCAATTATACAATTTTTTTTCTCATAATTCTTCTGCCTATTTATTTTATCACGCTACGATTGAATTTCGCCAATTAGTTTAAGATGTATTGTGTCCTACAGATTACAAAATCTTGATTCAAATCAAGGACCCTTCATAATTAAAGTACCATATTTCCGTCCTTTGACTGTTTGCATTTTCAGCCAGCTCTCCCCCTTTGACTTTGCTAATTTATTTTTTCCACGACTCGTGCGTAGTTTTCATCTCCGAATAAGTCGATGATCTGTTGTTTCTATTATTAAAGATATGCATATAACCTGTCAACTTGATATGTAGTTTGTATTATGAAAACGAAACATAGTGTTTATAAGAGAATGCTTTAATATTTGATAAACAGTTGACCAGGGCAGCTTCAAACATCAGACATAAGCTCTGCTTTGTTTATTCGGTCACTGTCTTCTTCTTCTTTTTTTCACTTGATAAAAAACTACTTCGACATTCAAGTCTTTTAGCTCCACTCGTGACACTTCAAGGATCAAGAGTCTGTACTCTATACATGCCAGACTACTTCCCCATGTTTAATAATGAAAGAATATAACGAGGCATTTACGAGGAAAAGCAAGATAAAGCTTTTTATTTTGTACTATCTCTCATACTTAATATAAGAATTAAGTGACTAGTTTGAGTAAATTAAAAAAACTAATTAAGTTAATTAGTTATTTGTAATAAATAGATATTACTTTCATAAAATATCTTTACTAACCAAGTGCATTGGCTAGAACCATCATTATTACAAAGACTATCTTAAAAAAAAATATGAGAGACAAAATGAATTGGAGTTTTATATTTATAACTAAAATAGAAGTTAAATAAATTGTTATATTAAGGATATGAGATAGTATTATTTTATTTGTTGGGCTTGATATAAAAGTGGGGTTTTTTAATTATGTTTAGTGGAAATGGACAGCACGTGCAGAAGTTTGAAGACAATAATTGAAATCATATGGTATAGGCTCATCATCTCATGACCAGTCAACCAACATGAAGCGATAACAAAATTACCCTCCAGTCAAAACCACATCAAGGGGCACTGATCATCTTCACAACCGAACCACATGAAATGGAAAATCATTTGGAAGCAACCAAGGTAAAGGTGAAAGAGACTGAGAAAGAGCTTCTTACTTATTACCAGCAGTTGTTTAGTTGAAGGAGTTTTAACCGCTTCAGTCGGGATCTCGAGTTAGAGTTCGTATAAATTTGAAAAATACCTTCAAGATAGTTACTCTCAATTAAGCATAATGACATTTAAATATAACTCAGTTAGATAATCACGTTGAAAAATAAGAAGAAGAAAGAACTTGTTACTCTTTTTGGTGTGGAAGCATCAAGCATGTCAATGGCCAATAGGCACAACACACAACACGCCATCCGACAACACACAACCCCACTGGTGAAAGATGGAGAGAGGAATTAATAGAAAATGAATTTAGAAAAAGGGGTTCTGGAGATGTGTCCGAGACTTAAGAATGAAAAAGAAAATGACTTTGCTTCAATGGAGGATCCATCAATGGGGACCTCACCCACTCAAGGCAGGGCATCACTTATTGCATATTTGTGTTGTCCATGTTCGCACAAAAGCTATAATAATGCGCTTTAGACCACAATCTCAGCTTTCTCCAAAGGACCAACTTCATTTGACAATTCAAAATCATGAGATGAGGATGTTCTTTATCTCGTTATCATACCCCCCCTTTTCTTTCTCTCTTCCTTTTTTTTTTTTTTTCAAAATTATTCTGCTCGTTCGGCTTTTGCATGATGTTCAATGGTCTCAATAAAGTGAACCCTTCTGTTTCTCTACACCGATGAACTGTTCATTGTTGTTGGCGGTATTTTTTTTAATGAATAGACGGTTATTGTCAGCTAAGTGAAAAGAATTTTTCACATTATTGGAAACTATACTTTTACTGCACGAGACTATCAAAATTTGGTAAGACCAATTAGTTGGTAATTTGTTATTGATACTAGTAATTTTCATGTAGCTTGGAAACAAAGGGTGTCTAAAGGAAGAATTTTGAAAGCAATGGAATCCCAAGGTAGGTGAGGTGGGGGAACAGGTGCGTGTTGTCTTCGGTAGGTAGTGCTACTGCTTGTGGTCACTGCAAGTTAACATATGTGTCGATGGATCACTATACAGTTATTGGGCCTTTTCATATGGATTGTACCCAAATTCCCGGGGGATCCCGTTGGTTGTCTGTTCCAGTGACTGAAAAAGATATTGAATAGCTTCAAATAGGGCACCAACGGGGGTTGGTCCAAGTGGTAAGCGACTTGGTACCGCTTAAGTGAGGTCTCGAGTTCGAGCCTCAGCGTATGCAGAAATCCCCGTTGGGAGACCAGTGAACTGGGTGGGCAACAAAAAAAAAAAAGCTTCAAACAGGGCTAGGGCCAGGGCCAAGGCGGTTCATCGCCCATTTACACGCTGTCAACCATATTTTTTGTTTTTATGAAAAATACTTTCTTTTTTTTTTTTACGGTCGTGGTTGCCTTGAATCAAAGTCTTTCTAGATTTTTATTAAGGAACCAATTCTTAATATTATTGTCAATTTTGATCAAAATCCTTACCCTATGTTTGATACGAGGGAAATGGAGGAAAAGAAAGGGAGGAAAAATTTTCATAAGCTAGATGTAAAAAATTGAAAAAAGGAGGTTATAAATTTTTAATAAAGAAAAAAATGTAAAAACAAAGGAGTAAGAAAAATTAATTATAAGCTTTTAACCCTATTTCATCACTTTTTTAAATCTAGCTCATCAAAATTCTCTCTCTCCTCTCCTCCTTTTCATTTCTCTCATGCGAGACGGACTTTTAGAGATGATGTGTATCCAACGTAATAGTAATATATATTGATGCTACTATTAATAAGAAAATGATACTCCCTCCGTTCCTTATTATAAGAGACATTTGATGCTTATGGCATGTTCCTATATATAAGAGACACTTACAAGTTGTCTCTACTTTTTTGTGTTGATTTACTATTTTACCTATATTTATTGTCTCCAAATCACACTCTCTCTCCCTCCCACTTCTCTTTCTTTTAATAATTTAATTGTTCTCTCTCATGCTCTCTTTCCTTATTAATGAGGGTATTTTTGGAAAAAAATTATACTTTTTACACATTAATTGTTCTTAACTAATTTTAACTGTTTTTTTTATCAACGTACTTCGGTTATTTGTCTCTTATAATAAGGAACGGAGGGAGTATTTGATAAGAATAAAGACTTTAACAAAAGTTAATTACAATTTCAAGAACTATTTTTTTGATAAGATAATGCAAAATTAAATATACTTTGGTCATTCATATCAATTTCTTCTTTTCTCTGCAATACCAAAAAAATGGAAAGTAGAATAAAGAGGGGGAATGAATGGAGATGGATATCAAACAATTGTGCTTGGCATGCATAAGAGAGAAAATCATTTATTTTCTAAATAATATATGATATGATAAAAATTAAAAAAAAATTGAGACGAGTATAGTCAAAAGACTAAAATATCCTTAGTCTTTCGGGGGGAAAGTCTCAAACCTCTTTTTTTTTTTTGTTATCTGTCTCACACTAGGGTTAAATAGTTTCCACTAGAGCTGGGGGGACCCTCAGTATGAAAAAATATTGAGAGCCAACAGAAGGATTTAGATAGAGGGCATAGCAAAGTTGGAGTAGTTTAAGGGGTAATTTGGCTTTTGTCTTTGCATTCAAGATGATTAGTTACATTCCATCTCTTCATTAATCTATTCAAAGTGATTATATAGGAATGGCACCTTGCACCATTCTATCAACCAAACCTAGCTATGTGTGCCATTCTTGGCTATATTCTTCCCTCTCTCATACACCAATCGTAAGCATTGCTTGTTTGGATTTTTCAATTTGGCAGGCCCATCGTTTTGTGGCTTTTGGCATGCCTCCAACTGTGTTCTGTTTCACTTGTTTGGCTTTCGCGTCTTTCTTCAAGTCATCACTTGTCACAAAACGGGAAAAAAGGTACCTTGTAGATGCTTTAAAAAAAAAAAAAAAAAAAAGAAGCTACTAGACAGGAGCTTAAGGTTAATGAACAACTGAGAATCATCTTCCATTTTGTTCCTGATTCGTCTTCAACATATACATGGGGAGAGAAAGTTGAGCTAATCACAGAAAGATAACCCTTCTAATTCAACAAAAGAAATGGTACACTTCCATATCGACCAAGTTTGGCGATAAAACCACAAAAATGTGCCCCATTTCTTGGAAATTAAGTGCACTTAATTTCCAGTCCACAAAAGAGATGGTACACTTCCATATCGACCAAGTTTGGCGATAAAACCACAAAAATGTGCCCCATTTCTTGGAAATTAAGCGTACTTAATTTCCAAAATAACCCTAGTTTAGCGAACAAAGAAAAAGGGTCCCTCCAAATTCACGATCTTTGAACCCTGGGCCTAAGTCTTCTAGCAATACAGTCTTTCACTTCGGTAGAAGAAGCACTTGCGATCACTGAATCCAAGCAGGCAACCTTTCCATCCTGATCCTGCACATCAGAAAAAGGCAATGATCTCTTTGCTGAAACTTGTCCTCTATCATTTCCCGATTGATGTTTCACAGTATCCAAGCATTCACCCTTGTCATGCTGATCTTGCACATCAGAAAAAAGCAATGATCTCTTAGCAGAAACTTGACCTCCATCATCTTCAGATTGAGGTTTCAATGGGCCAACACAATTATTTTCATTGACCTCAAGAGACTCATTAGATAACCCTCCTACGTCTGAAACGGGTGGTGACTTCTCTGCTGAAACTGGGACGGAATCATCTGCATCTTTCTCCACATTTGCACCACCGCGACGGGTTTGAATGAGAAAGTGTGCAACTGATTTGTAGCCCAATGCCGATACCTTATATATGGAGAATGCAACAATTAAGGCAAAACTAGAACTGGACATAATAGATGAAACAAAGCTTGCATCCAGTCAGTACTTAGAGGGGTAACCTTCCTATAAAGATAGCCAGTGGGGGGCCATCCTTTGGCTTGACGGCATAAACTGCAGTTGCAAATTCCACGACAAACAGGACATATCCAACTTGGATTATGCAGGGCTTCAAGTACATGCTCCCCATACCTACAACAAAACTCATGGTGGATCGTAAATTGCTGGATCGATTATTTTAAATCAACATTAGTGGATGGCAATATGTATATTATCTCACTCAATATGGTTCTAATTATGTGCTGAATTTACATGCCCGAGAAATTGAATTGATTGGGTGGGTCAAATTAGTTATACACTTATGCTGACTGAAGAAAGATTTCAGAGTTCAAACAATAAATGGATAGCATCACCATTGACTGCAGGATGCGTGGCGAATAATGTATGAGAGAGAAAAGCTTGTTGAACGCATACCTCATGTACAAGCAATCTCCACAAAATTGCCCCTGGACCATGTTGCATTGGCTACACTGGGTACGATAGCCCAGGGTTTTTTGCCTGCAAAATAAAGTATTTACATCTAGTAACAAAGTTCAAAGAAAAAGTGTGAAATGAAAGGGAATTGAAACATCAATTAAACTAGAAGTTGCACAGCTAGCTGAAATCTCCTCTCCCAGCCTAAAAGGCCACATTTCGGGTCTTGGTTTTTCGAAGAACTTATTGTCGAATTGGCTGTCACGTTGGCCAGGACAAAGGTGGCAGGCCCATCAACCACTTGTCGGTGAAGTGGCGGGCAATCACGTATGGACTAAATCAAAACATTTTTTTGAAAAAAGAATTTAACAATCAGTAAACACAACATCAAGGCAGACGATTCAACTCAAGATAACATTATTAAAGATCCCACGGTAATCATTCCCTCCTCTTCCTCTGGTTAAAAAGCCTAGAGCTAACCTGCACTGATGGCAAGTTTTCCCGTTGATGGAATCATAAATTCGTTTCCCATCCTTCCCATACCCATCCACGAACAATGTCCAGGGCTTCTCCGTGTTACCGAGCAGCTTCTCGTGTTCTTCGGTGTAAATTTCTGGCTTTGAATCTGGATCTGTCACAAACTTTCCATTTTCCAGAGATTCATCATTCTTTGGGTGCACCTCTGAGTAACTCACTGGTATCACGTTCTGCAATCTAGAGACAATAAAAATCATAATGAGGAGGAGGAAATAAAGGGAAAAGGTGATGCTAATGTGTAAGAGAGAACGGCTACTAAATTTGATCATTAATCCGTATATTTTCAGGATAACACTGCATCAGCACAACCACAAACTACGCAGTTATGAAGATTTAGTGCATTTCGTCCAGCTGACTATCAAATGTGTTAGGGATGAAAGCAATATCAAACTTGAGGTGTTTGTTTGCCGATGTCCGATGGCAAGAAAGCAAGGTGAAGCCTGAATATCCACCCGGTTAAGCATCAATTTATTTTTTAATACTTTGTACAGACCGAAAAAATAAAAAATAAAAATCGCATTTCTATGACTCGCTTCCGCTAGCTGATTTCCTACAGAAATCATAAGCAGATTCAGGAGTAAAGTCAGAACAGTAAAACACAAGAGAGTCTTGATAGGATAACCTGGAAGAGCGGCGAAGAGGTCCGGATGGCTTCGGAGCAGATGCTCGCTGAGGGGATTTACAGTGCGACGGGTCTAATCGGGTGCGCCGTTGAGATGTCTGGGCCTTGAGCTTGAGGGAAAGATCTGCAATACCTAGCTTTTCCAATCTCTCTCGGTTTTCTCTGATTCTTTGCTCTCTGGACTGCTCGTATTGAGACATTTTTTGAGTCTCGATCGTTGGGGTTCGATCATTGCTGCCGAACTGGGGAGTATTGGGACTGGATTTCACTGAAGCGGCCATTTTTGCCCTTATTTCTGTTCCCCGATTTTGATTTTTAAATCTCAAACGGTCAAACTATATTTTGAATTTGGAATGACGTTGACGGCGAAGCGCGCCACTGCGCTACGTGGGTCGGCGTTTTCTCCGTGTGGGTCTGTCATCCGTGCGTGGGTAAAAAGGGAACTTTATACTTAAATATTTTTGGCTTTTGGCCATAATTCATTAATTAAATAGTCAAATCCATATTTGTCCTGCATTGATAGCACTACAAACACTGACATTTTGTTTTGCCAACTGTAAACACTGCACACATTGAATTCTTTAAAATATGGGATCAACTGTAAAATAAAAATAAAGTTCTGGAAAAATATTGGAATATATATAATTATATATTTATATATAAAGTTGACTCATTACGGGAGATGCACTGTGCCACTGTTGGTATTTTTCTTTATAAATTTTATAATTTATATGTTTTGTAATTTTTTACATCATTTTTTTAAACTTCAAAACAATATCATATTTATACTTGAATTGAGACGTAGAAAAGAAAAGGAAAAAAAAATTAAAGAGGCATTGTTAAGTATGAGTTTCTTCTTACAAATGAAACCATTTTCTTGGACTAGTTATTTTTAATTACTACCTCCAATCCTTAATATAATATCTCATTTAATTTTATTTTGATCCTAAATATAAGATCTCAATTCACTTTATTTCTCATATTTATTCTTTTTTTTAAAGATAGTCTTTTTAATAATAGTAATTCTAGCCAATGAACTTGATTAGTAAGGATATTTTAGAAAAGATAACACATATTTATAACAAACAACTAACTTAACTTATTTTTTTAATTTACTCAGATTAATCAACTGACTTTTATATTTAGGATCGGAGTTAGTATTTATTCTGACTTCATATATTTTGTTATAAAATATTATATTTTAAACACAAAAATAAAAGCTTACTTTCCCACTCTTTTGGGCGTCATGATGGATCCAGATTAGGCCAGAGAGCACTGATCTGCCCGTTTACCATGAAATTGGTCTTGACGCTGTTTAGTGAGTATGGGCTGGGCTTAATCAGAGGGCCCGTACAACTTCGAAAGATCATCTGGATGAATCTAATTCCTTCATTGATTTATGCCGATGCATGTTTTATGACATCGACCAAAAGGTCACATTTTCCTTTAGTTGAATATACTTCCGCCATTTTGACCAAATCCTCTTCCTTTGATCGTTGGATTCAGATGGATGATGACATCATTTATAGGATGAAACGAACACATGCAATATTTGTGGCCAATGGGAATCATCACACAACGCAAACTACGCATTATTCACCAAACAATACCTAAACTTGCGCAGTATATTCTTCCGCAGCGCCGCGTAGTTAAAATACGTCACTATCAATAAAGTTAAGGCTCTCTGTTTGACATTGAGGTGGAGATCGATGAGCTAGCTCATCAGCAAAAGCAAAATCCCCAAGACTCCAGCACGTTGAGGATTGAGAAATCTGGGCATATATGTTGATGACCTACCCCCTGAACACTTGTTATCAGATTGTCCACTTCTTTAAAATTGTTATAAAAAGGTCAAACCAATTGGAAATCAGTGTAAGCAATTAGCTCATTAATAAAGTTTTCTCTCGTGAAGAAAAAATAATCAATTAAAAAAAAACAGCAGGCTCCTCATACTATAAGTATCTCCATCGGTTTTGAGCTCTTGCATTGGTGCATTCGTGATCTTTTTAATTTAGGAGGAAGTTGCGGAGCACGAAGGGCATGGCCAGGATGACATTTTATTACAAGATTGTCGTGGTTCTAGTTCTAGTTGTGAATCTGAGCTATCGTGGAGACGCTGCCAAGAATGATAGTTTAGGAGCTTCTTTCATATTTGGGGACTCCCTGGTGGACGCTGGAAACAACAACTATCTGTCAACTCTGTCCAGGGCAAACATGACGCCCAATGGAATTGATTTTAAGGCCTCCGGAGGAAATCCCACCGGCCGCTTCACCAACGGACGAACCATTGCTGATATTGTTGGTAATTAATTTCTCTCTCTTATATATTACTTATCTAGCCATATATGTTTGTATTCTGCTGCTTTCTGAACTCTTCATTTGGTTTCTTTAACTTTCAGGAGAGAAACTGGGGCAATCAAATTATGCTGTGCCATTTTTGGCCCCAATGCAACTGGCAAAGCTATACTATCTGGAGTGAATTATGCTTCTGGAGGAGGAGGGATTCTGAATGCAACAGGAGGAATATTTGTGAGTACTTAAATGATATGGGCTCTTCAAGTCTAAAAGCAATACATAATGAATACTATTCCATGTCGTGTGGCTAAACGTAAACGTACTTTGATTTTCAGGTGAATAGATTGGGAATGGATATTCAGGTGGACTACTTTAACATCACGAGGAAAGAGATAGATAAATTGCTGGGAAAATCAAGGGCAAGAGATTTCATAATGAAGGAATCCATGTTCTCCATCACAGTTGGATCAAATGATTTTCTCAACAATTACCTTCTCCCATTCGTCTCCATTGGAGCAAGAATTAATGAGAGCCCAGATGCTTTCGTCGATGATATGATTAATCACTTCAGAGCTCAACTCACTGTATGCGCATATTAACTTAGACTCTGATCAAATTGCATCATACGCACACATGCATGTATATATATTAACCAAACCCGGTTAAATGTATAAATTTGACAGAGACTTTACAAGCTGGATGCTCGGAAATTTGTGGTGGCCAACGTTGGTCCGATTGGGTGCATACCTTACCAGAAGACCATAAATCGGCTGGGTGAAAATGAGTGTGTGGATTTGGCAGAAAAGCTTGCAGTTCAATACAATGCTCGATTAAAGGATTTGCTTGCCGAACTAAATGACAACCTCCCCGGAGCCACGTTTGTGCTTGCCAATGTGTACGATCTAGTGATGGAACTCATCCAGAATTATGAGAAATACGGTAAGAATGAAATCTCTCTTCTCGGATTTAGAAGTGAAAGGCCAAAATATAATGTAATGATGAATCAACAAGTTATATATGACGATGATGATGATGATAATGATGGCAGGATTTAGAACAGCGAGTGTAGCATGCTGTGGAAATGGAGGGCAGTACGCAGGGATAATTCCATGTGGGCCGACGTCAAGCTTGTGCACGGACAGGGACAAGCATGTGTTCTGGGATCCATACCATCCAAGTGAGGCTGCCAACTTGATCCTCGCCGGTCAGCTGGTCGACGGAGACACCAGATTCATTTCTCCCATGAATCTTCGCCAGCTTCGTGACCTTTAGTGTCATTGTTCCCCCAACGCCCATTCATTAATTTCCCCTTCATTTTTCTGTCATGCTTTTGTCTTTCTTGTTTCTCCAAGCATATATGTCCTGCCGTTTTACAATTTTGTCTTCTTTTATTATTGCATGCAATCATTTCCCTAGCTAGTACTATTTAAATCAAGCAATGGACCTGTTGTGGATTGAAATTAATGTACAAGTTGATATCTCACTACAAGTCTGTGAGATAATATTATCTAATACAGTGGGGATGTAACAATATTTATCCTTTATGTCATTCTGTCTTTCATAAAAAAGTACGTGAAACCAAAGTTTTATCTCAACTGGAAATATATAATTTAATTTTCAAAAATATTTGCTTTGAAACCTGAACTCAACTATATAAGCAACTTATTTTGTTGACCTAATTTTTTTTAAAAAGAAAAATTAGTTCAACCCAAACTGGTCTAATTTGACCAGAGTTATCTGCCTTTGAAGCCAAGGATGAAGAAGGTTACGTTACGCAGTGCACATGTAGAGGGGGTGTTTAGTTCAACGACCAGGTTTGATCTTTTAAAGCTCGCAATCAAATCATCAACGTACAATATCCTCTCCTTGCAACTTGACCTGCGCTCTGCAGTGATCCAATAATTAGTTGCTAGTACTTGAACAGCGACCTTGTGATTTTCAAACCCCAGTCTCTTGGACAGCGCTTATCTTGCACTCTCCACCTAAATTATCAATATATACCGGCTTTCATGCGCAGCATAAATTTTTTCTGGTATCGTGTACGCTTGCAAACACTAATTTTTAATATAACTTGATTCATTTAGATATATTAACAATTAAATAAACCATTTAATACGAACAAATTCAATATAACCCCTTCAAAACACTCTAGTAATAAGATTGTATATTTTGTTTATGAGTTACATAAGTTTGTTTGATAAAATGATAAATAAAATGGATCAAGACACACTTAGGACAAAAAAAAACCTCTTATTTCACCAAAAAAAAAAACCTCTTAATTAGTTCCTTCAAATAAACAAAATTATTACGATATTGAGGTGGTTCGAGGCATAGGTTAATTTATACGTATTTATATATACAGTAACATTATTTATAAATTATGAATAGCGTGTCTTATTTTACATATAGGATGTGTTTAGTTCTGAAAGAATAGAATAAGGAGAATTTTATTGGAAAAAGGTTTTACTGTTTCCCTCGTTTGCATTGATTAGATGGAGGGGATGAATAAATTTTAATGGATCTTTGACCCAAAAAAAAAAGAGAAAAAGAATTTTAATGGCTCTGTAATTTAAAAAGAGATAAAAGTTAGTACTACCTCTTATCTTAATTATAAGAGCTAGTTGACTAATTTGAAAGATTAAAAAAATGAGTTAAGTTAGTTATTTGTAATAAATATGTGTTATTTTTCGTAAAATATCCTTGCTAATTAAGTGTGTTGACTAGAATTATCATTGTTAGAAGGACTATCTTGAAAAAAAATATAAAATATGAAACAAAATGAATTGGGGTTTTACATTTAGGACCAAAATAAAAATCAAATAAAATTTTATATTAAGGACCGATATAGTAATAATAAGTTGACTACTACACTCCTTTTAAATTTAAACAATTTTTTAATTTTCTTACAAGTTACTACTAATTGTCAAATCTTTTCCCTGAAATGTCAAAAATATTGCACATTATTTATTATAAACGTTTTTATTAATCTATTTTTCAA